ATAAGAGGAAGTTAATTTATCGTTATAATAGGAAGTTAAGTTGTGGTTGTGCAGAAGGTGGAATATATACATATTAATAAGGCACTGCTGTTAGTACTTGAAAGCAGACCGCAGGTTCGTGTGGATATATAGTGCGCGTCAATTGTATATGCCATCCACTGATTTTTTCAGTTTTCTGACATAGTTGGAATTCTGTAAATCATCATAGCAACCATCGTTTTCGGCGTGTCGGAAAACTAAGAATGGTGTTGTTTGATTTTGGTTAACGCGTGATTTCAACTTGCTCTGTTCTTTGAAGAAAATGATCCGCGTCAATTGCTTATGCCATCTTAAAGTTTCTTCAGAATTCTTCAGAATCAATTGACGCAGCCCATTTTCTTCAAAAGAACAGAGCAATTTAAATCCACGCGTTAACCAAAATCAAACAACACCATTCTTAGTTTTCCGACACGCCGAAAACGATGGTTGCTATGCCGATTTACGAATTTCCAAATAAGTCAGAAAACTGAAAAAATCAGGGGGTGGCATATACAATTGACGCGCACTATATATCCACACGAACCTGCGGTCTGCTTTCAAGTACTAACAGCAGTGCCTTATTAATATGTATATATTCCATCTTCTGCACAACCACAACTTAACTTCCTATTATAACGATAAATTAACTTCCTCTTATTCCATGAGAGGGTCCATTTAAAGGGTATTTCGGCTCCACATGCGAAACGGAACTAAGCACACTTTGCTAAATTTCAACCGATTGCTTCACTTACAGATTGAGGAGGGTTCCAGTCAAAAAGAATTTCATAATAGCCTTATGCGCGGACTATATATAATAAAAGGAGTTTACCACAGCAACATGAAGCATGAGTCGGGGTCACCGGCGTCCTTGAGGGATTGTGGACCATTTTGTCGTCTACGAAAACGCTGGTTCAGAAGGGGCTAGCATAGGCAGAACCAATGTTTCTAGGACTTCCCAACAGTGAATCGAACTAAGAACTATGTAGAAGCATGATACCGGAACAATCACTTCAGGTCTCCTGAAGCTCGACGGTCATGGCATATGAGGTCACATTACGAAGACGGTCAGAGCAGTGAAGGTAAATCGCTGATGCTTGACATGGGAGAAATTTCTTTATTTTTCTTCCACAGATAAGATGTGGTGACCGAGCTTCTCGCTCGACTTATTGGAAAAACCTGTGGCAAAAACTTTTGTGTGAGGTTTTCAAGACACAGAACTCCAATTTTCGCTAAAAACTTTTCTAGGTGAAAGCAAAAATAAGTTAGACAGCTCTACACAACACCTTAGATGGGCACTGCGTGACTAATGCAACCCTGCCCTAAAAACACTTTCTTCCGTTCCGCGACTAGCAAGCATATCGCACAGGCCATTGAGCCAGAACACATTGAAAACAAGTAGAGAAGGTGGTACTTTACACAAGACAAATAACGCAATGATGTACCTGATGCCCAGTTAGAGAAAGTGGAAAGGCAATGTAAATATCCAGAAAAAGAGCACAAACATCGCACCACTGCAGCTGTACCGTTATCACATAAAAACTAATTTTGCGGAAAGTTTTCCAACCCTGAAATGCTTACAAATGTTCTGCAATTCTTCCACAACGTAGAAAGATTAAATGCGTTCTTTACTCTGTAAAGTGCAATGGCGAGTAGGGTATGGAGTCCTATACCAATGACGGCAGGAACCAAAATCAGAAGCGATGCTGCAAGTCGGATCTCAAATGTTGCCTCTACGCTCATTCATGCAGCAGTTCACAATATAAGTGCCAATTCACTGGAATCTGCCTTCTGAAAGTAGGAAAAGTCTGCTATTCTTTCTAAAAGCCGCACAACTCACTCAATACTAGCGTAAAACGCGGTCTGTAGCAGCACATTGGCTGCATAAAAATTGCCATTGGATCTAAGAATATGCAGTTTTCATCAATGTGGAACCGGGTCTTTGGACGGGTGTCTTTGTCCCGAATAAGCTCCCCGGATTCTGACGATTCATATGCATATGTCCCACTGGTGTTCAAACGGTAAATAGCTTTATATAAAAATCCAGCAACTGGCCTTATTGAGGGAAAATTGCAGTATCGCGAAATTCCTACGCGATATTCTGTTTAATACGTGATTTTTTATTTTAGTCAATGCTTCGGAATGTTTGTGTTGATGGCGCAATCCTGTCAAAAATTCGCGCAGCTGGATTCTTCCGGCTTTCAAGAGAGCTGCGTCAGTGGTTCCCTATTAAAGTCTTATGAAATTCTGAGGTCCTGCACCTTTATCGGATTTAATAAACAACAGAAAATCGCGTATGATCTTCACTACGCAAAATTAGTGATAAATTTGGAGCTTTTTCGAGACACAACGCGTTTTCTAAACGGACGCCGGAGCTCTGAGATTGTCAAAATAATTGAGTAAGATTACAACATGATGCTGAGAGCCAAAGAGAGCAAGCGAAAGTGTTTAAGAATTATAGCATAACTCCGTGAATTACAGTTTCTGAGTCCACTAAGTTACAGATTCAGTGCGATCATTTTGATCATTGATTCAAAGCTAAGCAATTTCGACAGCTTATTTAGAATATTTTACAACTGTGTTGTAGAAATATTACCTCATAATAATATCTGTGGATAAACACGAAAAAGCTCCAAATTTATCACTAATTTCGCGTAGTGAAGATCATACGCGATTTTCTGTTGTTTATTAAATCCGATAAAGGTGCAGGACCTCAGAATTTCATAAGACTTTAATAGGGAACCACTGACGCAGCTCTCTTGAAAGCCGGAAGAATCCAGCTGCGCGAATTTTTGACAGGATTGCGCCATCAACACAAACATTCCGAAGCATTTACTAAAATAAAAAATCACGTATTAAACAGAATATCGCGTAGGAATTTCGCGATACTGCAATTTCCCTCAATAAGGCCAGTTGCTAGATTT